ATTGCCCCCCCCCCGTCCACATTTAGAAACAACAGCACGCGTTTAGATCATTTGGCTGCTGCAATGAATTCCCACATGTGATGATATAAGCCACTATCGATGAGCTATCATGTGTGGCCAGGTCGCCTCTGAAAAAGTGCTAAGGGCTGGTAAATAAAATAATTGATCTTAGCTTTTTCAAATCGTGCAAGTGAAGCTCAAACATTGTCACGTTGCAGCATATTAACAGGGCGTTGTGAAGAGGGTGGTGGTCCTTTTGGACTCACTGCAGTAAGTGGAATCGTTTGTGGCAATAGTCCGTTGGGAATGTGGTTATCATTAGTCGGTCACAATCAGCGACGTGCAACACGCACCCCCCCCCCCCGGTAGCACGCTGCACCCGCTTGCTGTCGGCTTTGGCGTCACACTCCAAGGGAAGCAATCTACTTGGTCCACCGATGATGAGGATCGTGCATTGTAAGTGTGCAGCACGAGACTTTTAGATATTTAGGCTGACGCTGTACTCGGGACTAAGAGCAGCCAACCCCCCCCCCCCCCCAGGCTCTATAATGTTTGGGGCCCAAATTAAAACACGTTGCCTTTCAGAATTCTCTGGTTGTCAGGTTTATAGCCTCTAACGTAATGAGATGGTTGCGCGCATGAGATGAGAGCGGTGGTTCGCACCCTGTGGTCCGTGCACCGCCGCCACTCCACTCGGCCGTGAGAGGCGTATGCATGTTGAACTTCTTTCGCGCCGCACATAGCCAGCAATGCTAATTGGCGGAGCTATAGCGGATGTCATATCTGGTGCGCAAGACACCAGATTTCGTACAGAATGGTGGTGCCCAGACGCGTGTTGAGGATTGGCGGCGGTCGACCGCGGTCCAGGAAGGTTTTGGAGCCCCCCGTAGGCTTTGTAGGTACAGTACGGTATTATACACGTGTACAGGAAACCTTTGTTGTGAAGGTATCCAGTTCTGACCGAGCGGAGAAATTCAGGCCAAAAGCAGGCTTTCAGAGAGGGGAAATCTGAGCTGGCCACAGCGTTGCTCCATCCCGCCATTGTCAGCGATGCCGTGGGCTCACTTTGTCCACACATTTTAGCAGCAGGCGCAATGGCTTGCTCTTATTTCCTTAACGCTACGGGATATTCATCGTGAAGGAAAATAAACTGAAGTATTCGCCAAAAAATGGCAGTGAATATCATTGCGATTGCTTAATATTGGAAGAAAAATCTAATCGATTCCATCGTATTAATGCGTGCGCATTTTTTTTAACGAGCAGCTAATTGCTTATTACAATTCTAAGTTGTGCGCCTATAGACGTTGCCTTTACTTGAGCTGCCTGCAGATTAACAGCGTCGCCATGTTTAACTGTGTTTTAATTGACTCAGCATTTGACCAGGAATTTAAATGGATAATCCAAAAACAACGGAATGGCCCCCGTGCTAAGCGGCGCTTAGTCTCGTGTGAAGACTCGCAGCCTTTGTGTAGCGGCTGCCGAGGGGCGAGCGTCTCACAGGGCAGGAGACATGCTGGGGACGGAATAAACGGCAAAGCGTCTACCCATAGCTGACAGGGAGGGTCCTCGCCTGTAAACATCTGGCAGTTTGCCAGCATTGCTTCAAGCGAGCCTGACTGCCGATGAGACACCCGATGTTGAAACCGTGCTCCGGAGTTTTGCGAACCAATCTCGCTGAATCATGTACTCCCAGAAAGTCGTGTGGCTGAGGGGATGGGTCAAGAATGTTTTTCTTTTTCTTACGTGGAGGGGTCGGATACGGGAAAAAAAGTGTACGGTTTCCATAAAGTTGGTTCGCTCCCCCGTAATTCAGTTTACGGCATTATCTACGATCTCCCCTCCACGCACACACTCGGTAACTCTCTCCGTGTAAGTTAATGTTCTCGGAGAAACCTCGTTTTTTTCTGCAGATCAAGCCAAAATGGGTTCCTGCCCATGCTTGCGTTCCGCCAAATCTGCAGTACTCGCGCGGAGCGTAAGCGGTTCTGGTCTTCATGGCCCACGACTCTCTGTGCGGGGTCTGCAGTGGGGTGCCCGTCCTGTTCCCTTCCTGCCCATTGGGGTAACTGCCCTTCCCATTAGCGCGTGCTTCTCAGCTGCTTGTTTCCTTGTATTCTCATCTCATACAAATTATATTGTGCGCAGATATTTTAATTCATGGTAACGAGCGTAAACTGGAAACGCCATTTGTTCGACGTGACTAAATGAGTGTGCATTTGCCTCCGCAGCGTGTATGCAACAATAGAAGCAGGTGGGGGGGGGGGGCATTGTGTAGTGCCAGTTGAGAGCCAATGGGACGCGTTTTTATTTGTACCCAGATGAATCTTGCAGTAAAAGAGGGAAACAAAATGATGGAGAGCAAAGCAATTCTGTAAAGAAAAGCGGTGTATAATAACAGTGGTCAAAGCTAATGCGCGATTAAATACGGCAAACCCATTATATATTGTAATGTAATAATTTCATAATACTATATTATGAAGAGAAAAAGTGCTGCTGGCTGATGGGATTGAGGGATGATCACGTCCATGTGATGTGCGTCGTGCTAGTTATTTGCCGAAATAATTACGTTACGTGGAGATCGTACTTATTTAAAAATGGACAAAAACAATACCGCTACAGAGTGCAGCGTGACTAAAACTCGCTCGGCGTGACTGCCGCCGTACCTGCCAACGATCACGGCTTCAGAGGCCACCCTCCCCCCGACATCCCCGCCCACCAATTAGAGACGCAACAAGGTGGGGGGCAGGAGGGGGGGCAACGCGCCGCCGTCAGCGGTGTCACGCGGCAGATCGCAGCCGGAGCGGGCGCCGCTCTTGGCGTCGTGCCAGCCCAGTCGCAGCGACGACGCCGGGAGAGAGGGAATTCCCGCCACGCCACGCCACGCATCGCGGGCGCGGCGTGCCACCAGCCGCCAGCCAGGAGGGGAGGCGCGGCGGCGCCGACGCGCGCCACGTGCCAGCCCGGTACCCGCGCGGACACGTGGCAGCCAAACGGCGCACGCCCCGTGCGGGCGGGGCACGGTGCCAGCCCGTCTCCGCCCTCCCCTCGTTCCCCCCCCTCCCTCCCTGGCTGGCCGGCGTGCGCACGTTCCCACGCGTGCCGTGCCACCCGTCGCCCGCCGCCGCCGCCGCCGCCGCCACCTCGCCGGGTGGACCGCCGGAGCCGAGCGCTCGCTCGGATCGTCCGACGAGTGGGCATGCGTTGCGCCTCCGAACAGTCACGCGAGCGATCGGCTGCGCGGTATTGATCCCCCCGCCCCCCCTACGATGAAATAGTCACGTCAGTTAAGCAGGGCCGGGGACCGCGTTCGCTTCGCCGTGAGACTAAAACGACGCCGCTGCGATCTGCATTCCCGTTGGCCGGGGGATTGCGTGCATGCGTGCGCGCGTGCGAGCTTCAGGCGGAGCCAGCGGTGACCCGGGAGGGAAGCAACCCCCCGTTAACATCGCTTACGTCGGCCGCCGACTTGTATCCAGCTCTGATTGACGAGAAGTATTGAGCGCTCGGTCATTACGAGGTCAAGGTGTCATCCCGCGTCTCCGGCGTTGGTATAAAATCCTGCGGCATGGTCACTCTGGGCTTTCTGCATGGTGGTAAACTCTTGACGAGTGGGAAGACCTGTGTGTCTAGGAAAAGCTTACCCCGTGTGTGATTTTAGTAGTCACAGGCTATTTTTCGTGCTGGTATTTGTGAAATAATTAGCGTTATGCGGCAGCCATGCTGGAGCCCGAACGTCGTTCATGCGCGACGATGCGAGGTGCAGAGGGGATTGGCGATGAAGCCAATCGTGAAGTTGCTAAACGACGGAGCACAATGGAGGGACTTCCTTTAGGACCCGTCGTTGGCGACAGACAGACAGACGGGACTTGAAGAGGAAGACGCCTCACCTAAAATAATGGATTTCACTCATTTATACAGGGTGCTTCAAAAAAATGTTATCGTTTTTAATGGAAAAGAACGGATAGTACACTGTAACATGATAACAATGTAATGTTAATAGCTTCAAAAAGTCAAAGAGTCTGCACATGTTCGCCATTATTGTCAACACATGGCTGGAATCTTCTCCAGGTGATCTCCACAGCCCAGAAGCACACATTTCTTGTGGCATTGTTGCAAATTCTCAGAAGTGTTAACACATTTTTTGAAGCACCCTTTATTACCAAAAGAGTAAGCAAGTTTTGATTTAAAGCTTTCGTGACTGCAGTAATTCATATTCTTAGTTTTTTCGGTAAAGTCACGTGACTTTACCGAAAAAACTAAGAATATAATAGTAAGCAAGTTGCCAGCATATTGCATCAGGCTTCCAATCGTGAGATTTCCAATTCAGATCGTGGCTAGGTTGATTTGAGCCTATCGTTCCGCCCGTGTTGAGTGTGGCTGGCATAACCTTGCCGTGAGGTCCCCTTGGGTGGGGTCGCCACCTTCACTCCGTGGCATTTCCACTGCCGGCTCGTAGCGGCAAGTGGACGGAGGTAGCACCGTGTCTGTTGGACTGTGACCATGCGCCTATTTTTTGCGAGAGTGGATATATATATTTTTTTTGCAAGCATGGATGTTCCGCAATTTTTTTTCCTTTTCTCAGAATGAAATAATTCCAAATATTTCATGACTTTGCCTCACCGTTACAAAAGGATGATTGATTTTGATATGTTTTGTATATCGGTGGCCCATATCCGTTATTTCAAATGTATATATGAATGCAGTCGCTCATGCCCATGATCAGTTAAAACAGCTAAACAAAGTTTACCCGTAAACTTCAAAATACATGTTGTGTGCTTTTTGACGTGTGTTTCAATGCAATTTTCTGTAAAACCCCAAGTAGTATTATTTTATTCCTTTATGTAACCCAGGAAAATCTTACTGAGTCTCAGTACTCAAGAGGACCATGCTTTGAAATGTTTTACTAGTTTGTATATATAAAATCGCATATAAAGGGAAATTAGTGCCAAAAGGACATCCACTCATACGAGGAGAGAACACACAGACACGATTGACACCTACTTGCAGGCACCTCCATCTCTTGTAGACGGGCATCTCTTCCACACGGTGGCCACTTCGCGGCGTAAGCCTCCGGCCTGGTCTATGGTTCCTGCACAGTTCCAGCACCACACACGGAGACTTTTAACAGAAGTTAACAGCGTCTGTACCATGAATTTTCTCCGTTTTTTTTAAATCAAACTCTACGGTTTGATATTAAAAAAGCCAACTTATTGATGGCAATTCATGGTTAAATGACATGTATTTTATTTAATATATTTTTTTAAATTTCCAGAATACAATTTTCATGTGACCCAAAATACATTTGTAAAAATAATGTTTGTCGGTGTTCCATCTGTGTTGCACTGCAAGGAGGTTCGTGAAAAGCAGCTACAAAGCGGTGAGCAATATCGTGTCTGCCAAGTCAGGTGGGATAATTTGTGTTGCCAATAAAATACTGTACAACACTTCAATCATCTTACAATATCACAGGATGTGTAATAATTTCTTGAAGGGTACTTTACAGTTATCTGTACTTGAATGTAAAAATTTGACGATAATTTAATTGGCAAAAATAAACTTCATGCCCATGCACAAACACGGTTCTCAAAGATACCCAATTTTAATTGCAATTCAGCTCATCAATAATACAAAAATTGGCATCCAGCAGCAACAGCTTTTGCTACGTCCTTATTTCACGAACGTACGACTGTCTCGGCGCCCTTATCGGCACTGCACGGTGCGGTCTGGACAAGCAGACAAAGTTGGGTGCATAGGCCGACCGGTTACACCATGTCACGTAACCGGACTTGGGTGTCCCTCTGTCGTCGGTGACCTCGTTAGAGAGCGGCGCTGCCACCGCACCGGTTGCACTCGTTCCCTCGTCACGGGACCGCGGGATGTGGCGACGGCCTGGAGTGGCCTTCATCCAGCAGCGGATTTGAGTACGGCTGCCGCCGATTGCCGACGACGATTCGTCAATGTCGCCGTCTTTTTAATGATACGTCATCGCGTTCTCCCGTTGATACTCTTAACGGTTGCAAAATTCTGCTCGTCTCTTCCGTCGCGCTCAGGAGATTCGGCGACGTCCCCCAAAAGTGATGTGACGTGCGCCGCAGCGGGCACGCATTGTTAATGCAGTTGCTTTGATTGTCATTTCAATTTTTTTTCTGATTTGCAAAAGCATGAACCAGGTCCATCCCACAAGGTTCAAAGGTCGAGATAAGTAAATTTTTGACCCTGTCACCGGGGTGCTGCTGTGACGAATGGCTCCCTCGCTTGAGGCAGCTGAGGTCCGCTGAGCCTTTTATGATGATAAATACGGGAATACGATTGTGTGACATTGCATTGTTAGGTGGCAGAATTTACTGCATGGAAGAGCTTTGGTTGATTAGGTTCACTGCGAATTACATTTGTTTTTCTTCTAAATACCACAATCAAAACAAAATTGGCAATCAGGAATTGACAAAAATGTATAAAAGCAGATTGGACTCGAAGCCAGTGCAGTGTTGCTTCGGTATTCGCTTTCTGTGCATGGTCCAAATTAATTAAAACACGCTCATTGTATTCGTCGTCGGCAGTAGTCATATTGGACATGATAACACCATTTGCACATTTTAAAAAAAGTTTAATAAGCTTTACAAAAATAATAAGAAATGTGTGGCAAGTGTTTTAATAGAGTCTGAAAAATAAATTTGTACCACTGTCAAGACCGCGTGTGGTCAACATTTTGTCGATAGAGAATTCCCATTAAACTCATCATCTTTAGCGCTCGTGTTTATGCGATTGTGCAGTGAATGATGTGCATTCAATTAGAACGAAGCCGAGCGCTGTTTAAAGCCATTACCTCCGAGGGCTCCTGGTTGACTGAGGCATCGTCATTAATGCCTGTCCACTTCATTCACCCCAGCCTGAGCAGAAGGAACGGTGCTCACAGATATCTCGCATTGATACAACTACAGGGCTCCATCAAGGCACCTGTGACCTAGGATAATCGTCATAATAAGTCAGTAAATTTGGTATTCGCTGCATCACGCCCTTTCAGATGCGCTTCTGCGGCCGTCTGGAATGCTCTTCCTTACGATATTAGGAAGCCACTGGAGCTGTCCGCTTTTAAATCGTCTAGATTTAAAACTCTTTTCTTTATAACTGCTTTTTGTGTTTAGTGTTGTCCCCCCCCCCCCCGCACCTCCGATTAGCACGTTTGGCTACCTACCGTGTGAAAGAAGTGTAATATACGTACATGCATTCACGTTACTGTTATAGCGCAAGACCGTCGTCACAAACCACGGTGCTGCTACGTTCCACAAGCGTAAATCCGCGGGTAGTTTCGCGGCAGGGGGGCGGTGTTGCTGTGTGTAACCCCAAACGAGTCATTTGCGTTTTAGAATTCGTTAAATTTATTCGAACCGTGACGCCGGCATCCGATCGCCTCTTTGTTTTGCATGACGTCACATGCCTCTTTAACGGCCCACCCTTCAGTGCACTGTGAAACGGATGGCGTGTCGTACTTGCTGTTGATGCGCGAAATAACCAGGGCGGCCCGCCGGATTCGAACCGCCAAGCCCTCCGACAAGAGGCGAGCGAGTAATAAATACGGTACTTAATGGCAATGCTGGATTTAAATATTTATTCAAACCTTTCACAATTATTTATTTGCCACGACTGATTGAACTATTTCGTATTTCACGTTGGTTTTTGTGGAATGTATCAGTGGTAGAAATGGTGTAAAGACAGATTGATTTGGAGGAGAACCATTCCAGTTTAGCGGTGATTTCTGGCATCGTGCAAATAAATCATTTGTAATTACCAAAAGTTAGATTACAATAACACGTAATGTTTGTATGTATGTTGAACTTCTTTCGCACCATACGTAGCCAACCGTGCTAATCGGAGGTGCGGAATAATAACACATTTAATTAGCATTTTGTGAAAATTAACACATATTTAAATATTTTGATTTAAAGCTTTCGTGACTGCAGTAATGCATATTCTTAGCTCTTTCGGTAAAGTCACGTTGAAGGGAAACAATAAAATAATACAATATATATTATTTTATTGTTTCCCTTCAACGTGACTTTACCGAAAGAGCTAAGAATACATATTTAAATACTTTTAAATTAGTTACACACAAAAATCACGACTGCACACGTTATTGTGAGCCAATTGGAAAGTTGTTTCGTTCAATTGGATGATTACAAGACGTCACACATCATCTAATGCAGCCCTGCATGCTCACCACGGGATAGCGCTTGCCATTAATGACGGATGCACGGGCAGAGAGAGATGTCACTGAAGCGATGGCCAAATGGAGGGAAGTATGATGATCATTTTTATTCAGTCAGATAGAGCTTGCTTGACGACTGAGCACCACGGTCACGAGGAGATGTTAACTACCTCGCCTGGTATGCAGGAGGTCGTGGGTTCGATCCCGACCTTGACGCCTGCTGCTGTATATTTGGAGTTTGCGTGTCTCTCTCCCCGTGGTCAATGTGCGTTTTCCTCGGGGTCCTCCGGTTTTTCCCTCCACATTTAGAAACGTGCCTTTGGAGTATTTGGCTGCTATAAATTTCCACGTGATGAGCCACTTCGTTGAGCTATCATTTGTGGCCAGGTCGCTTCTGAAAAAGAGCGAGGTACATAGCTCAGTGGACCTCACCTGGTAAATGAAAAAAACATTTAGTTTCATTTTAATAGTTTTTAGTTTGCATACACACACAAACAGCACTGCACATCAAATACTGTACTATATATATGAGTTGTATAAACAAAAACCTTGCAGACAGTACTGCAATACATTGCCACCGAAATGCAGAATAATATTGCACCTTCAGTGCAACTACAATATTCTTTACCGTGAAATGTGATCTTCATCCTGAAATTAAATAAATGTTTGCAAATGTTTACAACTGCTGTCGATATATTAAAGTAGAAATTATAAAATTACAATATTATTAATTGATGTTTATAAGTGAACGTGTAAAAGATATTCGTGAATTAGTCTTTATTCATTTTTCAAGTGTTTAAAAAATGTTTTTTTATTAATACTTTGCATATTTTTGCACAATGTTGTCTTATATTTTCCTATTTCACCTATTATGATGTGAACATCGATGCTCAAAATGAGGCTTCTGTGTTTGTATTTTCATCGCAAAGCTAATTAATGACAACTGCTAATTAGAACCAGCAAGGATAAGAATTAGTGTGTATTTGATCTTAAACACTTGCGTGTGTAATTATAAATCTTTATAGCAGGAAGCGGGAGTGCAGCGGCTAGTGTGCTGCGCATTGAAAACCCATCGACCCGACTTTGATTTCCGCTCACGGCCAACACCAGTGACGATAATTTGAAACAGTCCTGGGCCTCCCCGAGATTAACTAAGGTGACCAGGCGTGGTGCTGACCACTCACCTCATAGGTGCTCGCAAACAGCACTCGCCCCGAAAGTCTTTAAGGCTATACGGGGGATCTTTGCCTTTGATAGATCTTGATTCAATGCACACTGCGAGTGGCATTCAGGCTTCCGTAGATAACGCTGCTCCGCTGAAGCAACTCTTTTCTCAGGACAGAATGTTTGAGCATCGAGCCATTGACCTTTGGACTTTTCACGTGAAAGTAATTCGAGCCTCAAGTCTGGCGGTGCTGGGACCTTCGCCGTTTGTTTGGTCTCGAAGAGTTCAGGATGGCGTGCCGAGCAGACAGAAGCATTTGGTATTATTAATCTGTATGGAGGAGAAACGGAGGATATGATGATCAAAATCCACATGTCATTTGCTGACTTCCAAAGCAAGAGAAACCCTCAGCAAATTCATCCCACGCAGACGTCAATTCCCAACCCGCATCTACACCGCACCTGCCTGAGAAGGACGCTGTGTGGGTCTCTGTAATCCTTGGCTGAGAACAGCACTGGGATGTAATGAAGCCTTGCTGCTGCTGTGGTGCTGTGGGCCTCCTGGATAAACTGGGTTTCATGTCATTACATATCTGGTCTAACGCCTCATCCTGGTCTGATACAAATAAACTACAACTCAAAACTAAACTATGTTTCATCCATAATACAGGTTTTTTTTTTATTTACGTGATCAAACCCCCAAAACCTGTATTATGGATGATATTGGTTGCGAAAGCCTACGTGTTAAACTGACTAAACTATGTTTTAGTTTACCAGGTAAGGCCCACTGAGTTTCATAGCTCTCTTTCAGAAGCGACCTGGCTACAAATGATCGCTCAACGAAGTGGCTTATCGTGTGGAAATTTATAGCAGCCAAATACTCTAAACGCACGTTGATTCTAAACATTGAGGGGAAAACCGGAGGACCCGGAGAAAAATCCACACGACCACGGGAGGAGAGACATGCAAACTCCGATTATACAGGCGTTGGGGTCGGGATCGATCCCACGACTTCCTGCATACCAGGCGAGGTAGTTAACATCTCTCCAAATGATAAAACACTCGTTTTTAAGTAGAGAAGTACAATTGAAAGTGTAAGTGCTGCTCAGTGCTTAGAGCGGCGTTGGTTGGCACTCTTACACGTGGGTGGCTCTGGGCCATGGCTTTAAACAACAAACTGACGATGATGGGCGCCAGTCTATAGCGGGCATCGCATTACGGTCTCTCTTCTCAAACAGAGATGGATACACAAGAGAGGGCGACGTACGTAATGGCAGACGTTTGAATGATTTGTAATTTTACTTTGGCTATAAAAGGTAGTCCTTCCTCCGGGGCAGTTGCGTGGAACACACGGCGGCTCGGGCAGCTTGCATCGTTGAGTCTCGCGAGGAATTCAAATCGGTGTTTGGTTTCCCGCACTGGACACCTTCGGTTGGTTATCGCACTTTTACTGTTGTTCTGTTCCCCCCCCCCACCACCACCACCACCACCAAAAGCACATATTTCATGTTTTTTGTTAGTAACAATACAGTTTTATTTAACACAAACAGTGTTTTGCAAGCAATGTCATATAGTTGGTAAGGCAAAACAAAAAATCCATATGAATGTGCATTGGCTATACGAACCACGGAGTTCTTAGTTACCGCACTTAATATGCATTCGTATCAGTGTGTGTATAGATGTTGAACTTCTTTCGCACCGTACGTAGCCAACAGCGCTAATCGGACGTGTGTCTGTATGTATGTATGTATAGATGTTGAACTTCTTTCGCACCGTACGTAGCCAACCGCGCTAATCAGAGGTGCAGGGGGAGGACAACAAACTAAACACAAAAAGCAGTTCTAAAGAAATACATTTACAATCTAGATTGAAAAGTGCATAGCTCCAGTGGCTTACTAATATCTGAAGCAACAGCGTTCCAGACGGTCGCAGAAGCGCATAATAAATTGCGCGATGCAGTGACCGTCTTTGCTCAATGGCGATTAATGTGAGCATACAAGACTGAATGTGAATTTGGTTTTGACTGCTGGGGAAAGTATAGGTGCAAGAAGTCAGGGAAGACAGCGAATTAAGTTACACAAGCAATATGAACAATTGGATTCAACTGGCAATATCTAATGCAGAGTTGCCTCTGTGGTAGTAGTTACATTGGAGAAACCAAACTCCATGTCTCGGACCGCATTCGTGAACACAAAGCAGACCTTAAACACGGTAGGACCAACACCTCGGCCGTGGCAGATCATTGTTATAATTCAGTAGGCTCACATGACATTGACTTTTCCAAGACAGAGGTTCTTTGTAAGCCATCTGGCTACCATGAGAGATTCGTTCATGAGGCTATCCACATATACAAGCACAGAGACAATTTCAACCGAGAAGATAGATGCTGGCTTAGCAATCACTGGAAAGATTTGATAAACCATTTCAGGTCTTAATTGATTGTTCACGCTTACGGTGGCTTTCAGACAGCATACATTATTTTTTCGTCTCCCCCCTCCTCTTCTCAGAACATAGATGGACTAGTCCTTCTAAATAAACTGCCAAATCGCTGCGCGTGGCGCTAGCGTTTTTTCAAATAAGTAAATAAATAAATACACCGTTTGAAAATAAATAAATTTATTCAAACCGACACACCTGATGACGACCGTTTGTGTTATGGTCGAAACGTCGTGGGAATTTTTTTTAATTGTTTTATATATATTTTATTGTTTTATTGTTTCCCTTCTACGTGACTTTACCGAAAGAGCTAAGAATATAATGCAGAGTTCTTAAGTAAATATCGTGGACAGGAAGAAGCGTTCCAGATGGCCACAGAAGCGCATTTGAAAGCGCACAATGTCTTTGTTTTTAATAAGGTGGCTCCAAGTTCCCACAGCTTGAGACGACGTGCATGCTGCACGTGTGTGTGTGGGGAGCGGCGGTGTAGCGATTAGCGCGCTGCGTTACGAACCTGGCGACCTGGGTTCGATTCTCAGTCACGGCCAACACCAGCGACGATTAACTGAACCGGTCCTGGGCCTCCCCTAGGTCGACTCGGCCTCAAACGAGTACCTGGTGCGGTGTGTAAAGACGTCGCCACTGGGGAGACAAAGGTGGCGGGGTGCTGGCCACCCACCCCCCTCGTGTTCCGTAGGCGTTCGCTAACAGGACATGCCCCAACAGTTTTACGGCCAGCCAATGTTGGCCGTGTTTGGTGGAAGAGCGTTTGGAGTTTAAGTTAAGAAGTCGGTATTGGCTCGAAGTGCGGGCGGAAGGGAGAGCTGAACTGATCGAGCACGGCACGAGAGAGGACGTGGTCCAACATTGAGCGGCGACTGACGGCAAGAGTTTTTTGACTGGGCTGTAACGGACGGAGCAGATGGCACTGGTGGGGAGTGAGTAAGTGGGCCTCATGGGGTTGAGGTGTGGTCAAAGCTAAGTCGCGGTAAAGGAAAAGAAGATCAGAGTGCAGCCGTCCGTGCGAGAGGTTATGATGAATGAATGAGCTACGTTTGAGAGAAGTTGAGAATTGAGGCGGATGATTGGCCAGGTGGCATTCAGTGAAATTTCATATCCTGGCTTGGGGTCTCTCAGTGAAGGCGGTCAATATCAAATGCTCAGTAAAGTGCGTGGTCTATTATTTGCGTGCTTCGACGTGCATGTAAATAATCATCTATATCCGTTGCTAATCCACTGCTTGATGAAGGCCTCCCTGTCGGTCACGTGGCTATTGGAGCATTCTTCAGAGCGTGGTGGTCAGTGCAGGTTGGTGAATGGGGGGATCAGGACCGGTTTCAGTCCACGGACTTTAGCCTTAACTGGGGGACTTAACTCGGCTCGCCAATCTCGCGGCACGGTGCGGTAATCACGGTGCCACCGCTCCCCTCAAATGTATGAGTGTACTTGTATAGACGCAAATTACTTTAAAAAAAAATATGCACAGAACTCACCGTGATTATTAAAATAGAATTCCCCACCACTGCAGGACTTATTTTTGGTTATTTGAACACAAAGATAAGACTTTAACATAACCCCCCCCCCCTTTGTGATGCTGCTATATTTGACATCTCACTCTTGAGCCAGGTTGAATGGCTGTCACGGTGTGGGTGCCCGCGATAGACCTCTACATCGTGTGCAGTCAGCTCGCATGCATTTTGGGGAGTCCATTGATGCCCTGTTTATGAGGCTCTCGGATGGTTAAAATATAGACTAAACTGCATAAACGAAAATGTTTTTTTTTATTTTCACCAGATAAGGCCCACTGAGCTATATGTAGCTCTTTTTCAGAAGCGACCTGGCCACAAATGATAGCTCAACGAAAGTGGCTTATCACGTGAAAATGTATAGCAGCCAAATACCATAAACGCATCTTTCTAAATGTGGAGGGAAAACAATTGGAGGACCCGGAGAAATATCCACACGACCACGGGAAGTGAGACATGTAAACTCCATATATACAGGCGTCGGGGTCGGGATAGAACCCACAACCTCCTCGGTGCAAGGCGAGGTATTTAACTTCTCGCCCACGTGGCACCAGATGCTTGTGCACGCGTGCGTGTGGAGAGCAGTAGTACGGCAGTTAACGCTCTGCGCGTGAACCCGGCGATCCAAGTTTGTGTCCCGCTTGCGGCCAACACCGGTGACGATTATCTGAACCGGTTCTGGGACTCCCCTATGTTGACTCGGCCTCAAATGAGTACCTCGTGAGATGTGGAAACATCGCCACCAGGGAGACAAAGGCGATCGGACGTGGTTGCTGGCCACCCACCCACCCACCCCTCGTGTGCCGTGCCGGCCTTCATAGGTGCTTCTCGCTTGCAGCACTTGCCCCAAACGTGTGTTAACGCTATGCGGGGCACCTTTGTCTTTATATACACAGATATATCAAACAAACACTCGCCACCAGGGAGACAAAGGCGGCCGGGCGTCGTACTAGCCACCCACCTCATGTGCCGTGTCTGCTTTTCATAGGGGCTTCTCGCTTGCAGCACTTGCCACAACAGTCTGTAAAGGATACAGGGGGAATCGTTGTCTTGTTTGAAGTGGTAGAGTAAACGGTGATTTGCCTACTGTGCTTCGGACTCGGCCAACGACAATAACGCCACAAGTCCACACATAAACCTTTCCTCTTGCTGACCTTCACTTGACTCATCTGACATGAGTACCTGGCGTTTTGTGGTTTACTTTCACCCAGGTGTGACAGAGATGGCGCCTCCATTCTCCCGCATGCTGAGCTGTAATAGGTGCTCGCTAACAGCTGATAGTATAAACGCCGCGTTTCGGAGCTTTGCCTTTGTACGCGTGCACTGTACGTTCACAGTAATGACAGTCACTGATTATTATTGTTAGTTCTTCACACTAAATCCCAGTCAGCTGCCAACGTCAACTCACGCCCACCCCTTACTGTGTGCTCTAGAACACCGCGCGTGCCGTTACAATGAGCCGTTAATTTCGATTGCTTTGTGATGCTTTTTTGCGTGCGATATTTAATTATTTAAAAGTGTATAATAAAATGGAACTTGCAGTGTTATTAAAATATAACAAATGCCGTATCCGGCAGGGTTGCTGCAAAATTATTCTTCACGATATGACACAAAATATCCTCTCTACATGCCACATCCTTCCTCAGAGATGCCTGTGATCGTGGCCTCCCGTCCATTTAGCTCTGTCCGTGATATTTGCATTTGATTATTGCCAGTTGAATCCAGTTGTTATTGCTTATGTAACTTTATTCGGTGTCTTCCCTGACTTCTTGCACCAATACTTTTCCCAGCAGTCAAAATCAAATTCATATTCAGTCTTGTATTCTCGCATTTCTGGCCATCGAACAAAGATGGTCACTGCATTGCACACTTTCAGGTCCGTTTGTGGAACCCTCTTCCTTCTGATATTAGAGAGCCACTGGAGCTACGCAATTTTAAATCTAGATTGAAAACTCATTTCTTTAGAGCTGCTTTTTGTGTTTAGTTTGTTGTCCTTCCCCCGCACCTCCAATTAGCACGGTTGGCTACATACGGTGCGAAAGATGTTTAGCATACATACATTTCACGCCCAAGATATCTAACCTTGCCTTTCTCTAATTATCCTCATGAATGTTCTTGTTGTGTACCATGCTGCCATCCATAATATATGTATGGCACTCGTCTTGTATATCCGTCACGTCTTCTTAAAAAAACACATTGCTGTTTCAAGTTTGCTTTAAAGTCTTTGTAATTACATTTTGATTTAAAGCTTTCGTGACTGCAGGGATTCATATTCTTGGTTCTTTCGGTAAAGTCACGTAGAAGGGAAACAAATTTTCTTGTTGTGGTTTTCACACCTGATGATGATTGCTTGTGTTGCAGTCGAAACGTCGTGAGAATTTTATTATTTTATATTTTTATAATTTAAAAGTCTTTGTTATTGTCCAGCATTCACATCCATAAAACAGAAAAGACCATATGCAACACTGATATTGATCTTCACAACAAGACAATTATGATATCAGTTTCCTATAACTTTGCAATTGTATTTCACATTTCTAAGTATTGGTTTGCACTTTCTTGTACCTCCCGTAAGAGTAAAATGGCTTAAGCATTCTTCTACTGCGGTTTACAGCCTGCCATACATCTTCTAATCCTCGTGAACTTTACAAGCTTAAGAGTTTATGACGCACACAACCGTCCATTACTAACATTATGAGTTGATTAAAATGAACTACAAAAATAGATGACGTCTTTTAGCCTTCACGCCGTCAATTATTCCCAAAAAACATTTAGCGGAGCACCAATTTATTAATAGGTAAAATATTATTAATCAGAACTTTAATTATTGTGCATTTGTTGGTTCGTAAAAATGTTTTCAGAAAATTAAATACTTTATGAGAGTATAAAGAGCAATGATAATCACAATGTAACACATATTTTGAAAAGCAGATGATACAATTGTGGTGGATCGTCCATCGTCCATGTATCCCGGCATCACAGTGTCGTGGCAACCACACGGTTCTGTACACGTCAACGCAACTCTACGGTAAAATGCACAACTCTTAATTTCAACCAAACTGTATTGATGGGTAAATAATGTATTGTTTAAAACGTACAATCGCTTAAAACGAGGCTATTGTGTGATTTCGATTTTTGGGATTAGTAATGCGCATTTAGTTATCGACAGTCCGGTGAATTTACAGCGTTGACTGGCGGTGTCGTTAGCGAGGAGGGAGGTGCGCACCTTTTCTCCCCGAGCCACGCGGCGTTCACACCACAGCATCGTTGCGCAACGGTTCCCAATGCACGGCCACCGTGGACCTCCACCAATCGGGGTTGGGCTTTGCGGCATCGCTGTCGGAACACAAACTCACGAGCCAGAATGTGTTGATGCCCGGTGATTGCTGCGAGGGTAAATGCCTTGCTCGTTCACGCTTTCGCTGGTCAGATCCGTAGGCGGTTACGGGTGTTTTGAGCGTCGACTGATTCACCCATTACCGGTTTTGATTTCGCTTAGCGCGGAGGTCATTCTCACTACTGGTTCTCCAGGGAGATGAGATGTGAGTTACAAGAATCGCAAGAATATTCAGCTAAAATTATGGTGAAACAGTACTCCCATCGGATGTTGTGTTGGCGGTGTAGCGGTGCAGCGGCGCAGTAGCTCACATACAGCACGATGGAGCCTGCTACTCGAGTTGGACTGCTGGCCTCGACCAACATCGGTGACAGCAAGTGACCTGGCCAAATACTCTAAACGCGTGTTGATGCTAAATGTGGAGGGAAAAACCGAAGGACCCAGAGAAAAATCCACGCGGCCATGGGGAGAACATGCAAACTCAAAATATACAGCAGCAGGCGTCAGGGTCGGGATCGAACCCACGACCTCCTGCATACCAGGCGAGGTAGTGAACATCTCGCCACCATGGCGAAATGTTTTCAGCCAATAAGATTAGTGGGAGGACACCATGGCGCCCCCACATTAACCCATGAGCTGTACTGACCAGTGTGGTGAAGTATGGTCAAATAACCCCCACAGCCGACACGGTGTCGGAAGGATCCATTTAGGAGTTCAAATGATTTTTATTACAATAATTCTATCAATACAATTAAGATATCAGCTTGCATGTATATCCAATGAGTATATTCTTCTTTAGGCACAGTTCAATCGAGCACATTGTATAGAATCTTGTATTGCTTCACTTGATATTGCTGAAGTTTAATATGGGGTGGAACTATAATGGACTTAAAGTTACATCCTGCTTGCGACACACAATGTTACAAAATTCCCCTTTGTTGCAAAGGACAAGTATAACAACAAAACCCACGGCGTTTCACAACGTGAAAAAGTGTTCCAAGCTAATGTTGTTTTTAAAGTAAAAAAAAAAAATCTAACATTACTCTTTACAAAAATGTGTGTGATCAGTTGAAATTTAGTCACGTGACTTGACAGCATCGTTTTTGGGCAGCACCTCTGTGAGGCCTAAGGGTGGCCGGCGCTTGCCAGGGGATGCAAGCGCCGGCTTAACCCTTCCCCTCGCTCCTCGATGGATTTGAGAGCGCTGCGGTTTTCGGCACTGGGCATCTGGGTCTGCAGACTGACGCGGGAAGAACTCGTGGCCATGTATAAGCTGATGATAACGATCACTTTAGAACGATCGCGATTGGATACAATTTGTTTAATAACTTGCGATTAAGTATCCCCCACTGGGACAGTTAAGTCATTTAAATTAAAACGAAACTAAACGATGTTTACTTTACCAGGTAAGGCTCACTGAGCTATAGAGGTCTTTTTCAGAAGCGACCTGGCCACAAATGATAGCTCAACGAAGTGGCTTATCACGATGTATAGCAGCCAAATACTCTAAACGCATGTTTCTAAATGTGGAGGGAAAAACCGGAGGACCCAGAGAAAAATCCAAACGACCACGGGGAGAACATGCAAACTCCAAGGATACAGGCATCAGGGTCAGGATCGTACCCACGACCTCCTGTATACCAGGCGAGGCAGTTAACAGCTCACCAGCGTGGCGCCCTAATATGTAGACCGCCAAGAACATAGCGGCTAATAAGTATGCAATGTTTGATATTATCGCTGGGCTTAAAACGGTCCAAAAAATAAGAGCGAGCAATAAAAAATGTTGTGATTCAATGTTGTCTGTTGCTTGAGTGAAACGTATTGCACGTTCCCCACAGCGAGAGCATTTTGCATACACTACACGGTGAACGTGACAGCCGACAAGATGCACCGCTATCATCTTCGAGAGAGGTCTGGCCAACAGCGAGCAACCCCACAGTGCAGCACGCAAATACACATGCATATAAAAGACTGTGCTTTTGCGTCCTTGGAAAAGGCCGTGACATTTTATACGTGCATGTAGAATTATATTTTCCTTACATAGTTTTAAGCTTATTGTGCAATTAGTTGGAGATGAATGCACGCACTGACACACACACACATAAGTCATAAGTAAATATAAAATAAAAATTCACAGCCCGTTGCAAAAACCGCTGCCGGAAAATAGCTTCCTTGCCTATGCCACGTCGGTTGTGTTTTTGTTTTGTTTACCATACTTCACCATGACCGTCGGTACATTTTATATATGCGGGCTATATAATTTATGCAGCATATAAATTATGACATAACCGCGTGCCATAAAGAAGGGCCATTGCCCGGAAACGTCGCTTATATATATTTTTTCCTGTTTAAGGCCACGCACGGTGTTGTTACTGACGTACCCGTTGAGCCGTTTTGTTACCGTGTGCGCCGCTGCCTACCGCAGCGTCCGCCAAATGGTTGGGCTCGCGGAGACGTTGGTGGGTTTCATGAAGGAGGAGATCGCAGACAGAGGAAAGGAGGGGATGAGAACGAAAGGTGGAGCCGAGGACTGGGACGCTGCAGCGAGGAGGTGCAGTGAGGAGGTGGTTCTGGAAATGAAGGGCAGAGAACACAGGGAGGACGGAGAATATGGCAGCCGGTGAACCGCCGAGAAAGCAAAGCGTACAGTAGAATACGTGATGTAAATTCCACCATGCAAGTTGGGTGTGCATCCTGGTGGCATTTGCTGCGCCTCATATGTAAGACGCAGCACAGGGGCTGCATGTGATGCAGTCTGGTATTCCCACGTTATTCGCGAAGGAGATGCTCGTGAATAGCACATTTCGCGGATAATGATATTACTCTAAAAAAAGTGTCTTATTTTAAATGAATTACCTTAAATAAATAAGCTATCAAATACATGAAAATTATCATAACACAAACAAATTAGAATTGATTATTATAAACAAAGTAAATAAATATAAAAATGTTAAGTAATAGTTTGTAAATTAACTTACCTTAAATTATGACGGTGCTCTGCATCTTCCCTTAATATCATCACTATCTCATCACTTCCTTTCTCAACGCAGGCGTGTAGAGCTCCAGACGCTATTCATAGATAGCCAAAATCATGGATAGAAAGTTCGTAAATAACGAGGGAATACAGTATAATATCTGATATTAATTATGTTTACCTTATGCTCTGCTGGATTAAAAAAAAATGTAATTATGCAGGGTGGCCCAAAAGTCAGGACGTACAGGGCTATTTCATCTATTTTAATCCTTGCAGGAAAACATTTGAATTGTTCAACTTAATATTTTATCTGTTGTCATTATTAATATCTCGTGTTCCTCCTCCAGTGTCGTCACCTGGTATCCGTCGTTTGTGAAACTCGACCAAGCACCCTGAGTGAATTTGGGCTAAACATAATTGATGAATGTTCACAGATTATACCTGACATCTTTTTTGAAAGTGCTAAATTAATTTCAAAAGATTATTCATGGGTGCATTAATGTTATTGGAAGTCCACGCAGTAAAATAAAATAACCCTATGGGATTTGTTAAAATAAATAACCCCATGGGATTTGTTAAAATAAATATAACCCTATGTGTCCTAACTTTTGGGCCATCCTGTATATTGTCCCTGTGTGCTGTAGTCTACACCAAAAATCAAATGAATAGGATATTTCATGAGAGACGATGTTGGGCTGGATAGTTTTGTCGGCAGAGTGCTCAATTCACAGTCATACAAGTTGTATATTCAAACCCAGGCTGCAACTTCACTCGGCTCATCGTCAATCCCTCTGGGGTCAGTAAATCAAAATCCACTTTGCAGAAAGCTAACAGTCGTAATCCTGTAGCCGGGACCCCACCATGGAAACGTGGAATTATTACCGCTGGCTTTGCACCACCAAGGGAGGCGACAACTCCCCCCCCACCCCCCCGATGCTTGTTTGACTATGTAGACGGCGTCCGTCTCCACGCCGTACACAGAGCGGTCACTGCGTGGGGATGTGAATGTATGCCCCTGATACACAAGTGGGCTGGCGTTGCCAAGGTAGCCCTGCCAAAAGGGATAGGACGCGGCGAGATTCTGCGTCCCGTGCCTTGTTCCGAGTATTCCTTGTGGAGGAAGAACAGCAGTGGTGGAGGAAGCTTGGCTTCGTTCATCCAGCGAGCTCTTCCATTGTATCTGCACCCCTATTTGGTGGTTGCACCCACACCAAATTACATGCCCCAAGCATCGTGACTTCGAGCCTCACTCGGAGGGATTGACCTGAACTCCACCCCAATTAGCCAAATGTGCCAGCACAGGTTTTTTTAGTGTGCCCACCATCGGGTGGAACCATTCGATTATAACGTGAGTCGCTTATAGAACTATCAATCACGCAATTAACTCTGCACTGGCCATGCCTGAAGTGTGCAGAGTGGAAAACCTTGGGATGAACAGGGTGGAGTCTCATCTAATCCCCACCCAGGGGTGCGAGGGGATAACATTAGACAACAGACGCACTAATCTAGACGGAACATAGCAGGCAGCCCGATACCGTCAGATAATCCTCTCTTAACAATACAATGGCAGCGCGCGGCTGAAATGGTGGTTCGCGTGAAATGCCCTAGTAATGTGGATTGTCCTTGAGATGGAGGCGGGAGATTTTGACCTTGACCGTGGATGATGGGGAAACTACCCGAACAGTTGGGTGTCCTCACGGAGAGAAGTCGTCAGTCTGTTGCACGTGAAAGCGGCCATTTTATTTACCATTGTCTCACACTGTTAACAGGCAGAATAATAAATACTGATACATAGCGCAGGCACTTACATTGAATTGTTTCTTTAAATGAGCAACTTTAAAGATGAACAATTGAACAATTAATATCGAATAAAAATTCCCCCTGAAAACTTTATTTAGATTTCAATAAAATCAATCGATAAAACTTTATTTCTTTGAAGGTACCTTTCTTAACACCATGCCCCCTGTGCCTAGATTATCCTCCATGAAGATTAAAACCACACAGTTAAATTGTAATTGCGTTAAATCTACACCCACACAATTAGTGACGCTAATTAAATTTTAATCTGTGAATGCCAGGCTAAACAGGTAACGTTTATATTTTTAATTGTGGACAAATTGGATCACCCTTAATAATATCGACGATGATCTAGCTAAAATGCCACGCATTATTGCCCTCTAGACGCTGAAACATGCACGTTTGCTTGCTTGTTTTCTGGTCTTGAACACACGCGTCACAGTCCCACCAAACCATTACGCTCGGACGGACGCGTGCAGCAGTAACAAAGCGCAAGTGGAGCAGCGAGCACGGCAAGTGCCTTGCGAACCCCCTCGCCGAGCAACGATCCCGCAGCCGCGGCCCTAACTTGGCGAGATTAGGAATAGTGACCTTTTGCAAGTCGTTCTCTTTTTTTTTTCAATCAGTAGCAAATGACAACCTTTTCTCTTTAGAGGTGGCTCCCGGAGAGTTTGACATTTAGCGATTTTAGCAGGAAAACTGCATCTGTCACGGAGAGCAGGGCAACTCATTACTCTGCTTAATTGTAGCATTGCCCAAGTTGCACGGGTCATACGTTATATTACCAAGGGGTTTTTTTTCTGAAAAGGTTATTTTAGCCGGGGTTTTTTTTTTGCTTCATATTTTCTAAGCACTTTCACAGAAGGTAACAATTTCCAAGAGCGTTTGCAGCGCGGGTAAGCAAGACGGTTTCAAGGTCAAACTCTTTGCTTCTCCTGGCAAAATGTAGATGTCACGCAGGTTAAAACACGGATATCGTGTGTCAGCTAAGAGACGTGGAAGGAGCTTCCGTCGCTATTCACACTAACTTTGGGAATCCATTTCCTCGCTCGTTTGCGTGGGCATTTAATTGCAGAAATGCCCCTCCAATCGATATCCGGCAGATGCTTTAGGTGTTGGTAATTTCATCATCACCACACTACCGGCCGATCCTCTCAGCTTCATCATCCTTATTTGAAACAATTAAGGCGAATATCGCTACTTGTGGCAGAGTCCCTAAATCACATTTACTGCGCACCTAGGTAATTTTAAGGATTTTCATTTTTTGTTATTGTTGAAAAATCTCAATACAAGGAAGGCATCTCCCCGTCTCAGTGGATTACTATCGAACGGAAACACGAAATGCGTTTACACGATGTGGTGGTGGTGGCCGTGGTGAGCGCCTGACAGGCGTCGTTACAAGAGGAGGGACCCTCGGCTGTCCCCTCCCCCCCACGTGCGCCTGCAGGAGGCTACGTCACAGTCGCTCACGTGACGTCATGCTCAATCGCTTTGACAAGTTGCCGCGCCTTTGGTGGAAAGTCGCCGCCTTGCACTGCCCTCGGTGCCACGACGTTCACATTGTCCTAGACCGGCGGTTCTTAACGTTTACCGCAGCCTTGCACCCCTTTGGTTTAAACAATGTACAATGTTAATGAATACATCGGGGTTGATGAAACAAAGTAGTTGTTACGTGTCCGTGCTTAATTTGTGTTTCGATGATTTACCTTCTAAAAAAAATCTGGCATGTCTCGCACCCCCCCCCCCCCCCCAGAGAGGGCAATCTTGCACCTCCAGAGGGAGCGGTCACCCCAGGTTAAGAACCACTGTCCTCGCCGTATCCGGCACGGGGAAGTTCCAAAGCCTTGATGAATCGGAGCACTCCATGTATATATATAACAGGGTCTAACTATCCCCTTTAGTTTGTACTATGTTGAACTTCTTTCGCACCGTGCGTAGCCGACTATACTAATCGGAGGTGTGGGGGAAGGACAACAAACAGGCACACATAAAGCAGTTCTAAATAAATGAGTTTTTTTCCATCTAGATTTAAAAGTGCATGATTTGTCAGGCCGATGCAAGTGGCTGTCACGCCGTTATAACGCGTTAGGTGTGTCACCTGCGGCTGCTCAGTCGTGCGTGGGTATCGACACCGTCATCTGAGCGATCATCGGTACCGGTCGGCGCTGGCGGGTGAAGGTGCTGTGGTGTTACTGTAGCCCACGGGTCGGCAACCAACGTGACATTTTATTTTTCAATCCGGCAAAAGAAACTCAACATTGCAAGAGCCGCAACCGCATGTGAAGAACGTGGCGAAGCAGTCCGCAAAGAGGCCGCGTGCGGTTCTGGAGCGGCAGGTTGTTGGCGACCCACCTGGAACCTCGGCCCAGCAAGGCGGCGCCAGGCAATGCGCTCAGTCCCCGTGCTACGCGCAGCGTCCAACACGAAGCGCGCGACCTGAGAGACGAACTTTAGGGGAGGGCCGTTCGGCTGCTTTGAATTGCCACGCTGACGATGAGCCACAAAACTTCGTTGAGCGATCATTTGTGATGTTTTATTTTACCAGGTGAGGACCCGCTTGTAGCGCCGGTGATGCCTTCGTTATTACGTTGTTTGTTTATTATAATCACCCACACAGTAACTCACACGGTGATGCGTTTCACGCCGTAACGAAAGAAAAGCTTCAATAGAGAGGGAGGAAAGGAAGCGGCACGTGGCACGTGCCCAGGTGAGCCCGCGACGTCTTCTCGTCCGCGGTGTCCCCGACGGGCCGTGCCCGTGCCTCCCAGGGTCGTTGCGGGGGTAGTCGCGGCGTCTGGC